CGCAAAAATGCGGAGAGGATCGGCTTCGAGAGGAAGGGGGACGATTGCGCATCAACGAAGGTGTCAATCGCTGCCCCGATAGGAAGCTCTCCTGACAGAAGCTTGAATATATTCTCCGCCAATAATGCTTCTTGATGCACCATAGAAACGCCACTGCTCAAATATGGCCACCCCTTCCCCCCGGGGATGGAATTATAGCGACCGATGTAGGAACGGATCAACGGTGCCTGAGAATTGAATCCTTCGCTAAATCTTTCAGTACTTGGCTGATGTCATACCTGTTGACTCCTTGCCTCGCTAGAGAATAACAGGAATTCTCCGAGAACCAGGGAAAGATTAGGCGAAAAGAGGAAACGAAACGAGAGGGAAGAGAGGCCGATTTGGCCGGGGGACTCCATCTGTCTGACCAGTGGACTGTGGAGGATCCATTAATGATTCAGATTAAATATTAGTATTAGTATTAATATTCGTATTGGGATTAATAAATAACGGTGAAAGATGGAAGAGAATGTGAGGAAGTGGAGCCAAACGGGGAGAGCCGAAAAGGTCTCCAGCGCAGACGCTAATTGATCGCTGGAGTCTTGGACGAACCGTTCGAAGCCAACACTTTACCGATATTGGGCAATCCGGCATTTATATAGCGTAACCCAAGGCCAAACGACCCAAAACCAACCCCTCTTCCCCTCCCCTGCAAAACATTCCAAGACCGATTGGGCAAGCCTCTAATATAAAAATATCAGCCGGACAAGTAAACTACTTAATTCCACGTATCCGCCGGACCAGCATAAAAAAATCATAATAATGAATGCTTTCTTGCGGTGTACCCTCTCTCCCATCCGTCTTTCCCATCGGGTAAAAAACCTGCTGAGTCCCCTTGGGCATTTCCCATCAAATGGCCAAAATGGCTCTGGGGTCCAGGCTTCCTCTCCTCCTGTGTCTGCTGGCGGTCTTTCAATTTGCGCTGGCGCAAAAATGCTGGCGAGATGTCACATGCGCCGGACCGAAAGATAGCGCCTTTCCAGGGCCGTGGGAGGACAACATTTACGCGCCATCGTCCAGAACCGTCAGCCCTAAGCGGACGATCTTATCGCTGGCCAGACCGAACGCCACGGTCGATTATCAAAAGTCTAAACCGTACACGTTGCGTGGAAATGGATCGGCAGTGGTGTTCGACTTCGGGATCGAGGTGGGCGGCATCGTCACGCTGAATTACACCTCCAAAGGCGGCAGCGGTGCCCTGGGCTTGGCTTTCTCCGAAGCGAAAAATTGGATCGGAGAATGGTCGGATTCCTCCAATGGTGCCTTTAAGGGTCCTGACGGTGCTTTGTATGCTAATTTCACGAAAGATGGGTCCGCATCGTATGTTATGCCGGATGAGTCTCTTCGTGGAGGGTTTCGGTATTTGTCAGTATTCTTGGTCACAAAGGATCAAGTCTCGGTCGATGTTGATGCCGTGAGCTTGGAGATTGGTTTCCAGCCTACCTGGTCGAATCTGCGGGCGTACCAAGGGTACTTTCATTCCAATGATGATCTCCTGAATCGCATCTGGTACAGTGGCGCCTATACGCTGCAGACCAATGCCGTCCCTGCGGACACGGGTCGTCAGGTACCTATGCTTACGAAAGGATGGGCCAATAATGCGACCATGGGACCTGGAGATACGATTCTCGTGGACGGTGCGAAGCGAGATCGTGCCGTCTGGCCGGGCGACATGGGCGTGGCGGTTCCTGCGGCATTCGTTAGCACTGGCGATTTGGAAAGTGTAAAGAACGCCCTGCAGACAATGTACGATGCTCAGGTACATATACCCCTTCTGCAAATACCTACATTTCACATCTAACAATGATACAGGATAACTCAACGGGCGCGTTTGACGAATCAGGACCGCCGCTGAGTCAAAAAAACTCGGACACATACCACATGTGGTCCATGATAGGAACGTACAACTATCTGCTGTACACTAACGATACATCCTTTCTATCGAAGAACTGGAACAAGTACCAAAAGGCTATGGACTATATCTACAACAAAGTAGATAACTCAACCGGTCTGCTGAATGTCACTGGCACGCGCGACTGGGCCAGATGGCAGCAGGGATATAGCAACAGTGAAGCACAGATGATGCGAGTACCGCCCATCCCCTACAATATTCCTCGTATCTAACAAAATATCAGACTATACCATACCCTGACAACAGGTGCACAGCTAGCCTCCTGGGCAGGCTCCAGCCTCGCCAACAAATGGAACGCCCAAGCAACAGACCTGGCACAGTCCATCAACGAGTATTGCTGGGACGACGAATACGGTGCTTTCAAAGACAACGCCACAATCACCACTCTACACCCACAGGACGCAAACAGTCTAGCCCTTCTCTACGGAGTCGTTGACCCAGACAGAGCCAGCAGGATCTCCAAGAATCTACTGCAAAACTGGACCCCGATCGGCGCAGAAACACCCGAGTTACCGAATAACATCTCTCCATTCATCTCATCCTTTGAAATACAGGGCCATTTCGAGATTGGCCAGTCCGCCCGAGCGCTGGAGCTCATCCGACGAAGCTGGGGCTGGTACCTCAACAATCCCAATGGCACCGAGAGCACAGTGATCGAGGGATATCTGGTAGACGGCTCTTTCGGATACAGGTCCGACCGCGGGTATAGTAACGACCCATCGTATGTCTCGCATGCGCATGGGTGGTCCGCCGGTCCAACGAATGCCTTGACAACCTACCTCCTGGGTCTCTCCGTCACGTCGCCGCGCGGCCTGACGTGGAAAATTGCACCGCAGTTTGGCGATCTCAAGACCGTCGAGGGCGGGTTCACGACTTCGCTGGGCAAGTTCCAGGCGTCCTGGGATAAGAGCCCGGATGGGTACACGCTGCAGTTTTCCGTTCCGCCTGGGACGAAGGGGAACCTGACGTTGCCATATGTGAGGAGCTCGGAGAAGCCGTCGATCACGATTGACGGCAACGATATCTTCAAGGGTGTGTACTATGTCGATGATACGGCTACGATTACCGTGAGTGGTGGCGGGAGACATAGAGTTGTAGTGTCGTAGTGTATTGCTTTCATAGCCTGGTTGTTTTTTTAGAATATCCATGTATTACTCCCGATCCAATGCCATCAGTACTTGATCCTACACACTCTCCCAGCCCAACCACTATCTCAACAACCACACCATAGTCACCAATAAACCCCCTAAAATAAAACCTACAACCAAACGTCCAAACCACCAAGCATAATCAAGGGCACTTAAAGTCACGTGAAAAACAACACCGCCAAGCCAACCAAGGTTACCCTACAACATCCGCCCATCCGCAACTCAAACAACAAACCACCAACTCAACACCCAAACACAAATGCGACCACCAACATCAACAATGCAGGGCACATCCCTCCGCGCCTGCACACAATGCATCCGGCGCCAATACTTCCGCGCAAGCCCCACCCCTTCGCGCCTCCTCAGCACCACCCGCACCCTCCGCTCCACACCCAACAACCCGCTCCGCAACTCCGCCAGCTCGCGCGCCCGCGAAGCCGAGATCGCCCGGTCCCGAAACACAATGGCGCTTTCCGCAGCGGGGATAGTAGCCTGCGCGGCGGCGATGTACGGGGTGATCAAGCTGGATCTATTCGGCCTCGACCAGGCGTCCGCGAAGGAAGAACAAAACCAAGTGCCGGTGCAGAAAGAGGGGGCGATGAAACTGGACGGACCGGCGGGATTCGGGGGCAACGCGTCCGTGATACGGGTGCAGGGACAAGACGGCGCGGAAGAGGTTTCCACGGGGACGAGCACGATTCCAACTTTTCCGAGCGTGATCCGGCTACCGAAGGACCTTGATGCGGGGGCGTTGAAGGCCGGGGATGAGGTGCCCGAGTCCGTCGAGGAGGAGGAGTATCAGCTGCTTGGACTGGGGATTCGGACGGTGTCGTTCCTCAAGATCCAGGTGTATGTCGTCGGGATGTATGTGGCCAAGAGCGATATCTCGGAGCTGCAGCAGCGGCTTGTGCGCACGGCGGTCAACCCGCCGGGTGCGAAGGAGGGGGTTGTTGATACGCCGGGCGCGACGTCTGCGACATCGTTGGTTTCGACGGAGAGGCAGGGCTTGAAGGACTTGCTTTTGGATGCGGAGCGCGGGGATGAGGTCTGGGATGCCGTCATCCGGGGGGATGGGCTCAAGACTGCGTTCCGGATTGTTCCTACGCGGAATACGGATTTCTTGCATTTGCGCGATGGCTGGGTGAGGGGGATTACGGGGCGGGCGCAGAAGGCCAATGCGAAGGCGTTGGAGGGTGCGCAGAGTGAGTTCCAGGATGAGTCGTTTGGGACTGCGTTGAATGATTTCAAGAGTCTGTTTGGGGGTGGGCAGAGGAAGAATGTGCCCAAGGGGCAGACGTTGGTGCTTGTGCGTGGTGGCCGTGGGGAGTTGGATGCGCTCTTCCACCCGGACCCGGCCAAGCCGGTGCGGTTCTTGGGGCGCGTGTCCGATGAGCGGATCAGTCGGTTGGTTTGGCTGAATTATCTCGCTGGTAAGAATGTTTCGAGCGAGGGTGCTAGGCAGAGTGTTGTGGATGGGGTGATGGGTATTGTTGAACGGCCGGTTGGGACTGTCGTGCAGAAGATTGTGTAATTCTATCTTGTACATGTAATAGTAGGCAATCAATCACTCTCACTCTTCTCATATAGATTCTATCAGTCTACGCATTAAAGCTTCCAGACACCAGTTCCTCTGCGGAATAATCGAGACTACGACCTCCGACCAAACACCGAAACCCTAAACACCAACCCAACAATCTCACCAACTACACAAACTCCCTACACACATACATTGGCGCAGACTACAGAACCAATCACCCCCACCACGCTCCGCGGGGTAACCCGGCGACTACAAACCCCGACCCTCAAGGTCAATCACCGAACCCACACATCGCAAGCAAGATAGATATCATATAACCAAATGCATTCCGTCTATGGTATCCACAACGCTCTCAAAACATAATCTAAAGAGCACCAGCGTCCTTCAGCAACTTAGGCAGATCACTGCGACCCTGCAGATCGGAGTTTCCACCGATGTGCGTCTGCTTGATGAAGATGTTAGGGACGGTGCGCTGGCCGGTGATTTCCTGAAGGGCGTCCTGGATGGCGGCGCCGTCGCCTATAGACAGGAAAACAAGATTAGTCTCTGTCGGACATCACCGGGGGTATTCCGGTATATATAGAGTTTTAATTAGAAAGCGGTCGGGGTTAGACGTACTCTCGTTATCGAGTTCAATGGCGACGTATTTCGCCTTCAGCTTGTCGAGGAGACTCTTGCTGGATGAGCAGTAGGGGCAGTAGGACTTCGAGAAGACGACTAAAGTTTTTTTTGGTCTTGCGTCAGAGGCGTGGCTTTTTTGGTACCTGGGCGGGAGAGGGGTTAAGCTTACCAACGGCGTTGTCGTTGATGATGCCCTGGGCTTTGGTCTTAGCGGCAGACATGGCGGCTGGGGTGGGACCGGCGAAGGACCCGAAGAGACGAGAGAAGATGGAAGAAATGGTGGGCAACTGGGGTCTCCGGTGGAGAGGATATTGGAGGGGAGATGGGAGGGGTGGAGCAGGGTTTATATACAGGTGACCGGACGGGGAGTATACTTGATTGTTCCTTGCGATTCCCGCGGTTGACTAATTTGCCCGGGAAATGATGTGAGGCGCGGATTATGTAAGATGACCGGGGCGATGATCTTCGATCCAGGCCTCAGGCTCACGATTAGCACTACTTCTGAATACGTAGTACTCGTCGGGTATGATGTCTATTACTACCGATCAATCTCTAAAATACTCATGGCTTGTTTGTCTGCTATATAGATATATTTGGTATGTCAGTTCTAGTAAAACTGCTGGTCATTTGCTTCAATAGCTGTCTGTCAATCCTCGCTCAGATTGGATGTAAGTCTCGAGGAACTGGGTGCTGGGTGTTTCTAATGCAAAGTAAATGAACAAGGCAAATGGGAATGGGAATGAACCTCAACTGTACGGTCAAATTAGTCAGTCGGAAGAGAATCGAAGGAGTGCATCGTGAAGTCGTTATCAGAAGTATCCCCCCGGCTGCTTCACTTGTATATGACCCAGGGGATCACGGCTCTTGACCTGGGAGCTTGCAGAGACCACGAGTCAATAGTATTCTTTGGATTGACATGGAAGGAAATATGAATTACAACAGACACAGGGGAATCATGCAAGGAGCGACTAGCCACAACGCAAGAAATGGAAAATCCGGATGGAACGATACAAAAAAAGAAAAGAAAAGAGAAAAGAGAAAAAGACAGGAAATTAAAAAGGTCCTAAAAGCACAGAGCACTGGTGATCAACAACAACCAACCTGACACGCTAACCGAAGGAATATAATGCGAAATGGGTAATAAATTCCACAAAGGCAATATTAAGAGCGGGTCGCCATCAAAAATAACGAACAGCTTGGGAACGAAGTACGATGTGAAACGTCACATCACAATGCAACATCCGCAGCCCTTCTCCTTTGGCGGCGGTGGCTCGGCCGTTACAACGGGCGGACTCCATTTGGGTGTCAATGCCGCTTGCGGAGCCGCTGAGGAAGGTTCTTGCAGTTTGGGCATGGGACTATACCCTGTGCCTGTATTTGGTCGGTTGATCGGGTCTGGGGTCTTCGGTGCGCTTGGTGGTTCTGGTTGGGGTTGTGAAGGCGTGGGCTCTTCTTTTTTCTCTGGATCCTCCACCATCTCAATATTCTCCACAGGCCTTGGACCATCATGACCAACCGCTAACGGAGCAAACTCGCGATCGTAAGTAGTTGGTGTCTTGCCCTCTTTCTCCCATTCTTCTTGCTGCATCCGCTTCGCATGAGTGGGCAGCATTTGCTGATCTGGGGGTAGGCGCGGGTCTGGCTTGTACATGGTCGCCAGCCACGGGGGGTCCCCTTCAGGGCGGTTGACAGCAGTTTTCGGACGATCACCCGGTTTCCCCTGGCGCTGAGAATTGTTATTGGACGTAGTACGACTTCGGGGCGGCGGCCTCCTTGTTGACGCAGGAGCGGAGGTTTTCCGAGTCCCAGTGCCAGCTGCACCCTTAGCGGGCGTCTTCTTAGCTGCGTTAATCTGGGCTTGGACACCCCGGCTAGCAGGCCGGCTCCCAGCAGCCGGAGGCGAGGTATCTGTCGAATCCACCGTGATAGGCTCGCTAGCCCTGCGAGGCATACCAAATGAGAGGGTTTCCTCGTCACTAATAGTATTCGCGCGCGAGCGGTTCATAGGCGCGGTGCTAGAGGGAATGGGAATTCGAGACGAGCTCTTACGAAGACCAGGGTTGCGGTAGATGTTAGATGCGCTGTCGTCCGCCGCGACCTCCTCAGGCTTGCGAAAGTCCCAGTTGCCGCGTGCGTTATCATCAAGATCGGTCGGGGAGGAAGTGATACCTTGTTGGCCTTCCAGGGTTGGCCAGGGCTCCATTTGTTCTATCGGCGGGGTCGTAACCTCATTGTGGTGCATATCATGATGTCTGCCACGCCCAGACCTAACACTCCCTGATCCTACTCGGCGCTGGAAGAGGATCTGCTGCAGCTCTTCACTTTCGATTTTCGCTAGTTTGTCACGATGGATCCAGTTTGTATCGTCTGCGTCCTCTGGGTATGGTCCGGCACTCTCCTTCAGTTCACTCTTCCTTAGAGATCCGTTATATGTGTCTTCCGAGTTCCTGACATTGCCAATGTTCCGACCCGCTACATCCTGTCCGTAGATATCCCGCGAGCTCCCAGCTTCGCTTCCGCGCCGGCCATGGCTAACATCTCTTCGTCCTCGAGAACTCATATATCCTGACTCATGTGCGTAGGCATGCTTTGACAGTGAGGAGCTACGGGATCCCCGAGAATTACGTCTTGATCGATTGGTGGACTCGTATGAAGATCGGGACTTAGAACGACGAACGGCACTCTACCGAAGATTAAGGTTAGCTGATCATCAAACCTACAAGGGAAAGTGGCGGGAGCTTTCTATCACAAGAATGCACACAAAGGCCGAGACCGGCAGACAAACATGGGCCAAATGGGACTTACATTTGGTGTAAGCGGGACGGAAAACTCCCACTGGTGCTGGTTCGAATCTACACCGGACGACAACCAAACATCTGAAGAAAATGCTGCTGTCGCTGCTGCTCCCGCCATTCCAACAGCAATAAATTTAACTCAAGGAAACAAGGCCAGTCCAGCTGGAACCAAGTTAAGGGTACAGGTGTGCTTGTTTGGTGAGATTAAAGAGAATGAATTCGCTAGATTTCTCCCCGATCATGCCATCCCAATGCATGCAGAACCTAAGCACCAGCTACCAGGCACCGTTGCCCCAAGATCACGAAGTGCAAGCCGAGCAGCGTGTTCGGCTCAGAGGTGGGAGGTGGTCGGGAGGGGGGGGTGGCTGAGGATGCTGCGGACAATTGCTCGGCCGGTGTGAAAAAAGGGGAAGCAAGGAAGCGGCCCGAAAGAGTAATGTGTAAATAGGGGACCGGCGGAGAATACTATGTCGAGGGTTGGGGCTGAAGCAATAGTTGAACGGATACCGGCGGTGACAGTACCGTGGATGCGTTTCGGTTCAGGGAACGGGATCAGCCAACAATTGATGGTGATGGGATGGCACAAGATTCGCAAGTCAGTGCACAGTATAGAGTCCCGTGTAAACTTGTAGACGAGATGGGTCTGCAGCAGGGAAGACAGTCAAAGAAAGAGGGAAATGACAGTCGCACAGGGAAGAGGACGTAACCCGTCGAGGGGGGATGAGAAAGCTGGAAATGAGGGGAAGAAGAAAAGGAAAAATTAGGGAACAAAAAGGAGTGCGAGCGAACCAGAGTGTGGCTGGACTGTGGCGCCTGTAAGGTCAGTTCAGAGACGCGCACGAATTGCAAATAGTAGAGAGAAGATAGAGAAAAAATAATAATAAATAATAATAAAAATGGATATGGTCAAGAAAAGGGGACGAGAATTAGAGGTGAATCAAATTATTATTAGTATGAGTAGAGGGAACTCAAGACCCTCCACGAAGAACAAATGGAATGAACGGGGAGGAAGGAGAAGAAGGGGCGGAGAACAAAACTACAGAGAAGAAAGAGAACGATTGCGATGGGGCACGCTATCACTTTGTTGGAGCTTAGTTCCCTTTGGTGGGTGTCGAGTCTGTCGACTAAGGTTCTTTAGCCTAACGACTAGTCACCATTCCAGGTCCCCAGCCGAAACAGCCTAGACCTTCCAGGGTAGATGTCAAACTGTGTCAATCTACCGATGGTAAGGTTTATTGGGTATTTCCTCAGGATATCATGATCTATAGAACTACGATACGACTCGAACACCTCGAGTCTCAGCCATGTGCTCCCTTATCGGCACTGGGGTCTCGCGCAGGTGATCTCTCGTAAAGCCGTTTCCACTTGCGTTGTCGGCTGTGCCCCCTTTTATCCACTGCCAGACCACCCGTGCATTCGGTTGCCTCACTTGGGTAAAACATGTCATCATTCCCTGCCCTCCGTACCGACGATCGGTAGCCGATAAAGTACTCCAGGATCGATCAATCAGAAAATTCCCTTAGAGTTACAGCTCTTTGTCTGCGAAGTACAAAGTCTATGACTAGATTTGGCAATCAATATCTCGGCAGCGCAGATGCACAGGTCCTTCCAATTTCAGTCATGGAAATTAGAGTATGTCAACGTAGAAGACGTCTCTCATAAGTCAACGTCAACCGCTGTGGCTGAGATCTAATGACATTGACTAGGTGCATCAGGTCCGCCTTCAATTTCCTTGTTGAAGCCACTCACTGACTAATTAATACAATGTGACTCATGAAGTATCCTGAGAGTATAACCTACACTACCTAACTAGGTTACTGAACCCACGGACTATGATGATGGTTCCAAAGAAGAATCTTACCGGTTTTTCTGTGGCTTTACAAGAAATGACTAGATACCCGCAAACCGCTTTGGCTTGGGACCAGTCAATAAGGAGCGCAGACTCTAGACTTTCGGCAAACCCTGGATGTGAGATTGAGCTTGTGAGGAGACTGGAACTTCTCAGAAATTACACTTCAACATAAAGTTGAGCAGGACGAACGCCTAATTAATTTTTTATTGCACGCACGGAAACCGTTATCCAAAGACGAAAGAGGACCCTGATGTTGACCCGGGTATGAGTTGGCTTGCAGTAGAGGCTAACTCTGTTGGACTGCAAAGATACATTGCCAGAGCATGGACATCCCTCATTGATCTAGAGCTTAGGCCCACGTGGAATTTATCTAGTAATATTTTGATTGCGATCGACAGTATCCAACCATACATCGCTGGACGATCAGAATATGTGCTAAAGGCTATCGAACAGGTTATGCAAGATCTTCCAGATACGCAGCCAAAAGGGGTAAGTGTCATGAAAGGAACCATCATGATATATCTAATGCCCACAGTAGTATGGTATATGAGGCAAATTCTATATTCGTCTCCGGCAACAATATCTGTCAATATGTTCATGACATATACAATGATGGGTGGGCACACCAGGCGATTAGTTATAAAGGTAACATAAAATGTACAAAAACATAGAACCGGCGAGGCGCTGGGCAATCATGCCTTTGCTTGATCCAGTTTTGTGAGGGTGGACTGCGCTTCCTTAACGAGCGCCTTGCGCGCGTTTCGAGCGTCCACGTTACCATCGGGCTCAATGCCATCAGCCCTAAGAAGCACTTGCGCCAGAATCGTCTCGCTCAACTTCGCATGCTCGAATTCACGCGACTTAGGATCGGTCGGGGTATTGGCAATATATTCATCGCAAAGTGGCAGCAGCTCTCTTTGAAAGTACGCTGAAAGTGCCTGTGCTTGCTCAAGTGGGGTACTGAAGGCTTTGAGGTTGGGAGCCGGCGCTGGTAGCGTCGATCTGCTAGGGGACGCAGAAGGTTTCTGGTCGGCGGACGGCGCGAGAGTGTCAGCACCATCTTTGGTCTTCTTCTTATTCTTATTCTTCTTGTTCTTGTTCCGATTGCGAACCCTCTTCGGGCGGGGCGCATCATCCGGAGGCGCCGAGTCGCTGGCCTTATCCTCCGCGTCGGACCCCTCGCTAGGGGTACTCTCTCCTACCTCCGATACCACACATAACACCTCCGACTGTTGTTTGAGTCCCTCATCCCGACAGGGCAGATCATCGTCGTCCAAAAGCTTGCCCTTGTAAAGTAGCTTGACCCGCTTTGGGTCGGGAGTGCCTGTCGCTTCTGCAGCTCGTCGCCTCAACTCGCGAACGCTGAGCGTCCCGTCATTTATGGCGTATGCCGGGAAATTCAGCTCATATGCGTTCCTTTTGTGTTTAAGGAGAAGTGTGTCTGGCGCATTGTCATCTTGATTCCTATATGTGCCTGCCGCACCATCGACGATATAACTGTAATCGCTATCGCTGACTTGCGGCGTATTGGAAACGGTGGAATACTGTGGAGAGCGACGGAAGAGGTTGGTGAAGGGAGAGCGCCAGGACATGATGGCTACTGCTAGTGCGCAAGCAAGGATGGTAACAGCGAGTGTAAGCTTGTCGGCGGCGAGGGTGTTCTCGGTGATCCAAGTTGGTGGGGGCCCAAGGGAGCGCAAAGATAAAGGCGTTTCAGCAGAAAAGGTTGTGACGAATTTGTCTTGAATGGCGCTGAGGGAAGTGGGAAACTTGTTTTTAAAGGAAGTCAGGTAGAATGCACAAGTCTCGCCCAGAAAGGACTGAGAATCGTGCGACAGCAGTTGGGTCATCAATGAATTGTCTTAAACGAAGAGGCAAAAAAAATTGAGCGGTGGACGCTGAGGTCATTAAGGGAGAAGCTGTCCTCTCAACTCCGAAATAGGCAAACAAGGCGGAGAGCCCAGGCGGACATTTTGCCGCAGTCACTCCTCATTCAGTGGAGCAGAACACAGGCTACTCTACCTAGTATCAACTTGGGACGAGGTCAGGCGATAGTTGCCTGGCCTGATTGAGCCTTGTTGGGAGATTTGGGCAATCTGCGTGAATTATGGGGTGAATTCAATGGTGGGTAGATATTCTGCGTCAATGATATTCTCCTGTTCTACTTGAATCCCCCATACAATAACACCAACTTTCCTCCGCGCTGCACTACAGTCATACTTTGCATATACTGGGAACACAGACAATGCATAGCATGGTCATAATGGATACAATTGGGATACACACAGTCATAATTTCGATTCGAAGAATTGGAAATAAATCGAAGCCAAAGCTTTAGCGTTTCATTAACTAATTATTAGTTATGCAAGGCTGTATGATTACTAAAGCCATCCCGATGCCACGCAGCCAATTTCCAATAGAGGAGAAAGAAAACGCCTTGGCCTATGTTGGTCAATTATGTTACGATATCTTTTTGAGTAATAGAAACACTTGAATGAAGAGCCGAGCTTCGATGTCTTAGTAGTAGTACCAGCGGTATTCATAGCATCTGTCCAATCAAAATGGAAGGTATAGTGACAGAGTAAGTGACAGGGTACAGAACTACTCGTGACGGTGGGATATACTAATCAATTCCAGATGTCCTTATGTGGTTGGCAATGAGATAGCCCTCCACATTGACAGGCAGCAGGTTAAAGCTACAATAGCGCATATCTTTGAACCGTTCACATTTTCATGTGCGATGGTCGTTCTGTTGGACCGCCCCTCCCAGTCTCTACAGTTGAACGGCCATATGGTTTTAAAGCTCTATGACCGTCGGTTTGCAACAGGATTCAGAGAGGATCAGAAAAGCAACCCCTGGACTCCGGATATTGAACAACAGTACCAGCAATTCGTCCTGAATGGCGATGCATCTAATTTTGTCGCCCGGCTCGACAACGATGATGGGTTCGTTGAAGAGAAAGGGGATCATTTTAGTATCGCATAGGATGAGACATACCTCTATACAAGGACGCGGGATTTTTATGAGACAGAAATTGAAGTATACGTTACTTTGAAAGATATCCAAGGTGAACACGTCCCTAAACTGTTCACATGCGTTACGTTGCATGGGTCATCGGCGCTGCACGATGCGTCAGTCAGCAAGTATACTGACATCCCTGGGATTCTTTTGGAATATATTGATGGATTTCCCTTGACTGATGTCGCCGCACATGCTCCCAGAGAAGCCTAGCAGTCACTATGCGAACAAGCTATCAACATCATCCACCAGGTTGGTGATCGAGGTATTCTTAATGAGGGTGTCAAAACAAGGAGCTTTGTCATTCAAAAAAGTCCAGAGAGAAGGTTCAAGATGTTTATGCTTGATTTTGCACTATGCAAGTTCCGCAGGGACTATGAAAGTGAGAAAGAGTGGTGGGAATGGAAAGCGATACAAGACGAAGAGGGAGCAGTGGGATATATAATGCGGAACAGATTACAAGGAGGTTTTGTCTACCATCGATCTGCCTTGTATACAAAGCTGGATGACGACTACAAGTCGGAGAATTGAATGCTTCCTTCCAGTATAGCCTTCTTAGCGAACTTTCCCCATACTATTCAATATGGTATATGATATATGGTATACCATTCTACTTTGCTCCGAGCGAAAATCTGGTTGCTGGATACCAGGTATTTTTCACCCCGTATAGAGACATTACCTGTCCATTTTCACCGCTCGCATTGCTCATATCAATTGAGGACCCTAGCCTATACCCCAAATATGGCCATTATCAAAGCACCAACCTAAAGGACTCCCCTCAAACAATGACCGGTAGGTCACACGATCATCGGCGACTTTGGCAGTAGAATAGGTGTGATCTGCCTTAATGACCCTCAAGTCTGCTAAGTGCCATTGTTTTATTACTATATTAACACCTACTTGTGCGATGTACACCACAGTAAAACAACTTTTCCGAATAACGACATGCAGCTTTGATATCCTACTGTTCTGGGTGGTTTCGTGCCCTACTATATGGGATACTGCATCTGAGAATTTTGGGAGCCTTATCGTGGTACTATAACAGCCTGTATGGATTGGCATAGGATCCTGAGGGAAATCAGTAAGTTCATTTTTTTCTGTAGCATCTGCAAATGGTGGTGTTCCCAGGGTCAGCAAAATGGTATACAACGGAGGAACTCAAGTATATATACGTAAATTTCGAACTTATGATACAGAACTATGTCATATCTATTTCCAACGCCTTCGTCATGCGAATTGGGAACTGAAGTCACTACAGCGAGTCTTCACAGCCTCACCCCGCCAGGCGCTGGTCGACCACCAAACCATCTAGCGAGCCCGTTGTTGCCGTCGTTGCCATCGCTTCCCATCCACCTTGGAAGTCGGAACGAGTCGCCCTGCAACCATTGAGGTGTACTGGCAGTTTCAAACGTATTTTTCACCCGGTGAGCAAATGATTGGAAAAAGTTTTCGTCATCCTCTTCCTCTGTCACTACAGTGGAGGCTGTGGCGGCCCCACGGGGTGGCCGTGAAGGTCGGGTAGCCTCACCCCGAGGAGTCCGCGACGAAGAAAAGGCATTGGTGCCTTCTTCAACACGGCTGGAAGGCTGAGGAGATCGATCACGAGCAGAAAGCGATAGGGATCCAAGACCGGTGAGCTCCCGCTCGATCAAATCACGACCTTCGCGCCAGCCACCTAAACCATAGCCACTAGGGTTATTTTCCAAGTCTTCGTCCTCCTCTTCTAAGAGGCCGAACCCGCAGATATTCTTCACCCGGCCATAGAGATTGAAAAGGGTAGCACAGACCGGCGCGAGAATGAATATGGGAAAGAAATAATCGAACCCCTTACCAAGCGGTGTCAAATCAATAGACCGCCCGAGGAAACGGTAAAACGTGGTGTTCTCCCTGGCACTCATCGGTAAGAATGTTACGAAGTTGTATGCGATCGGCACAGTAAGCCTAGCGACGAGCCCCGCGTACCAGCAAGCGCTTTCGCCGTACGTGTTGCGGCGAACCAAAGCGCGATTGCCCCACACCTTAGCATCGTTGACACCAACTAACGCAGCCCAGCACATGTACAACAACCAAGCAGAGGCGGTCACTTGTCTTCCGAACCCTACGGGTGCTGGATCTTTGTGATAGGAGACTATGGAGAGAGTCACAACTGACAACCGGGGAGCCAATGACTTAATCAATTCCGACCAAACAACGCACACAGATGCAGCCGCAAAAATCACGCCGAAAAGCAACCGGACGCTCGGGATGATGTGGACGTAAAGATGATGTCGCATGTATGGACTCAGAATCTTCTGACGTGTAAAGAACGTTGCGCGATGGGGGGCGTGGCCAAACTCGAGCTTCTTCGATGCAGATGAGTTGATGATGGCTTGCAAATCGGCGGCAGTCAGCACTAAACGATCCCACTCATCGATAAAGCGGGCCTTTAGATGCCGAGCGCGCTGGAGTCTTCTCGTAAGATCTGCCATATAGCGCTCTGTAATGACTGATGGGATAGTAGTCGACACATCGGAAGGTTCAAGAAGTGCGGTCCGTTGCTCGGAGGAATTAGATGTCTCAGCCAGGTCTTCGATCCAGTCTTTGAACTCCAGAGCACTGCCAGTCTTGCGTCGTTGTAGCTGAGAAACTTGCGATTCGAGACTCTCGAGGTCGGTGATCGCATCCATCAGACGGTCGTGCAACCGGGGCGCATGTGCTTGGATTCTGCGCAGCCGACCGCTCACGTTGGCATTGCGGAATAGAGTACGAGGTATAGAAACAAGACCATGACCCATCAGATAGATCGCAAGGACAAGACCCCATACGTATGCGAGAGCCATAACTAGTGACTTTATCGACGTAAACTCGAACCCATTTTGAATTGATATGTAGATTAATCCCACAATCGCACAGCACAACACGATAAGTTGATATCGGGCATTGGAGCGGAGGGAGTACGCAATGCGACCTTTCGGCTCACGGTAGCCCGAGTCGACATATTCACCAAGCAATGGAAGAATAGCCCTTTAAGAAGGCCGGATTAGCACTGAAAGAACATGAAAACCTTATTATTGGTCAAATGAAGCACGTATGTAGTACACACCAGGTAAGCACAAAGATTAGCCAGTAGGCAATGCGCCAGGATACCAGGATCAAACGGTCAGGCAACCAGATGGCCTTGGGTCCGCCCCCATCACGAGAGCTCGATGCTAGATCAATCGGAACCAGGAGTACTACGCTAGCGGGGAGGGCGAGAGCAAGAAACACGGGAATCGTGAGGTAGGCTGGAGTAGCTCGCAAGGTTAGGAAACGCCGTAGAAGGAGTAAGACAAGGATTGAGATTGCCAAAAGGGCAAAAGAAAAGAAAATATTAGAGCCAACAGAGATCGAAGATATGGAGATCATGGCGGCGGTTCCGTGGAGAGTACAGACGCATACAGAAGGCGGAAAGGAAATTCAGGGTCTTGGACAATCAAGAGTAATTGTTCATGACGAGGGAAAGCAAGTCAACTAAAGAGCGACGATCAACCTAGCTAAAACTGCAGACAGAAATGGTTCGAATTGTGTTCAAAGACGGACACATGCGAGTGCAACGAGAGAAACGGGAGTTGGTTCCGGATTGAATGAACCCTGAGACTCTGTAGGCATGGACGGATCTTTCATTTCGTTTGAGGCGGATGATAAGGCCCACGGTGACGACAGCAGGGTCTACACGTGACATCACATGACATCCTGTTACTTTTTCTGGCACAAGCAGCCTTACCCGGTCCACTTGGTGCAGGCAGATGTATGTTACAGGAAGTCAGTCACGAGTGCCTCTGAATTCCTGCTGAAGTAGTTAAGCTGCCCTCTCTACTTACATGGATTAGATTTCTGAGCCGTATTAACTAGGGCGAGGGGTACTAATAAATAATAAATAAGGATCAAGGAGGGACTGACTAGAACGTAGTTGATGGAGCCTGTACCACCTTTGGGTTGGTCACACTAGGTATGTAAGGTCACGGGTACGGTACCCTAAGTACAGTACCTGCACGCTGTGGACTGATAGACTGCAACCAGCCTTCCCCTAAAAAAAAAAAAAAAAAAAGACCCAACAAATGGTATTCATACTTCTAGTATAGGATACAGCCACATCGGTGATCATTGATCTGTTAGGAAGAAACCTCCACACCCTAGGTTGGAGATTCAATGAACTTCACATCAAGTGTATAATTATAATTGTCCTTCTCATAATTAAGAAGAGAAATTATAAAATCTCTTTTTAAATAAGAAAGGGGAACAAAAGAGAGCGAGAGAGAATTAGATAAAAAATAAACCTAAAACTAAAAGAGTGGGAAAAAGAAAAAAGAAAAAAAAGAAAACAGAAAAACTCACCTGGGAACAACACAAAAGTGGTATGAAATGGAAACGATCCAAATTAAAGTACCTGTGAAACCAGACGTCTTGGCTTGCCAGACCTTGCGTCCTCTCCACAAATCAGTACTCCGGTCTACACCAATGAAATTCCAATCAGGATCCAAAAGAGTACGTATGTGAACAGCGTACAGCTCAATAGATGCCCTACTCAGAGTACACCACTTGAACCCTATACCACTAGTCCGTCTACTAGGGACCAGACAAAGTCACTAAGGATTGCTGGCCCGCCTTTTGGTCTCCATCCGCTCCCGTCACTACGACTCCTGCTAACACTAACTAGACTAACTTCGACCAGTAACGGGCAGATCCATAAAGGTCTGAAAGTCTAGTACCTGTTAGTCTCCCACACTAGCCCAGGCCTGAGGCCACCATCACCACCTGCCTGCGGTCTTTAGACTTTCCCTCGTCTTCCCAACTGATCTTCAGTATCTTCTGCTCATCTCCAGGTCAAATCAATTAATTCAATCTTTCCCTCCCCTTGTTGGCTATTATTGGGGTTCCTATTTCTCCCATTATTGCTTGCTGCCTTTTTCTCTTTTCTCTTCTTTTCTTTTCCTGTTGCCCTTTTAATAATTTATTTTTCTATTTTATATTTCTTCTTCGAGGGGTAACGTCCTTCCGACACTTTTGTTTTCTCGTCTCCTCTCGTTTTTCGGGTTCCTCTTTCTTGCGACTTTTCCCCTCTCTTCTTCCGGACCTCTTCAACAGCTGACGGTCACCACTTCTTCCATGCCACGGGACCGGAGCTCTCATTGCTTGTTCTGTAAGCCCACCCTCTTCCAACAGCTTTCTATTCCCTCTTCCCCTCTCTGACCGATCGTTCTCCCTTCGTTGCTTGTGTCCAATTGATCGGTGGATACCTCTATCATTGGTATCTTTTTTTTTTTTTTTTTTTTTTTTTTTTTTTTTTTTTTTTTTTTTTTTTTTTTTTTTTTTTTTTTTTTTTTTTTTTTGGAAACATTTTATTGTCTTTGGCGGTGTTGAAATTACGTTCGCATTACGATCCGTCTGACCCAAACCTTTTCAGATTCACCCTAATCCTTCCTTTCTCTTTCTTTCACCTATAATTTTCTTCTACTTTTTTTCTTCTTTCTATTCCGAACCCCCTTACCATTCTTGAAATTCTTCCGGCGCGGATCTCATAAAAACCGAAATCGAACGCATCCGTTCTGCAACGACTGGCGTCAGTGCGACATCCCTGTCAGTGATCCAAACCTTCGCCGGCTTAGTGTTCCCCCCCCCCAAAGCCACTTCCCGGCTCCTGCCAACGAACCCGCTTTGACTGCACGCTGGTGCCCGAACGCCTTGTTTTCCCTGTTGTGTTGGTCTCCCGTGTTCTTGCTCTCTCTCTCTCTCTCATTCTCTTACTCAACGCTCTCTTTGTCCGACTGCTATTCTTTCCTGCGCTTGATTCTTTTCGTATCTCAGCGCGCTCAACCTCCGTACGGTGTTGCGTCCCACCGCGATTCACTTCTCGGAGTTTGGACCTTCAGTACTTTCTTTCCGCATCCCACCACTACTCGCTTTCCCCACTATCCTAAGTCACGCCGCTAAGGGAATTCTGATCCGGGCACAACGCATCGCACAGGGTGAGGGTTGGTGTTCCCACCAGCGAATGCTGACGTCAAAAGAAAGCTTGCGCGGACTGCTCCTCGATCCCCATTAAAGGGGGGTTGTTGACATGAATCCCGCAAATTTTCCCAATATCGGCGGGGGCATCCCTGGCGGAGGTAATCCGCATGCCCAGATGCAGGTCCCGCAGCAGAAGCCGGATAATCAGGTGATGCTGAACTATTTGGCCCAGGCATTGCAGTCTCAGGGTACTTTTACCGGATGGAGAGCCGATGTTTCTCTCAAGGAGCGGGCTGTCAATGTATATCAGATGTAAGTGGCCTGCGTCGTGTGTATGGTGATGAATCGGTCGCTCGTGCAAGCACTGGCCTTCAAGGCTATTGTTTCGCACTTCCCATCGTATTGCGCAGACTGACAATTCATCCCCAGGTGGACATCTCTTCGTTTAATACAACCGCATGCCGCTCTACAGAGCTTAGCGCAGGCTGCTTTAAGTTTTGAGCAGAAGGCCTTCAACAATGCAAAAGAGAAGGTATGCTCTCCCCTTCCTTTGCTTGTGTGGCGGGCACTTAACGGTGGAAATATTAGGTCGATTACGATAAGGAATGCAACGATAAACTGGTTCATATTCGAGATACTCGGGCTAGACAGGCGGCTGTATTACAACAAAATGGCGGCATGATGGCTCAGTCTGGGCACGCGGCGGGAATGGCCGGTGTTGGGCAGGCCCCGTTTCCTCAACAAATGGGCCGTCCGGCACAAGCTTCTCCAATGCCTGGACAACAGCAAATGGCAATGGGAATGAATGATCCGAGTCGCCAGGCGGCTATACAACATCGGCAGCAGCAGCAGCAACAACAACAACAGCAGCAGCAGCAGCAGCAGCAGCAGCAATCCCAAGCAATCCTTCAACAACGAGCGCAGCCAAGGCCTGGTAATGGTATACCTCTGACGGACGATCTTAGCACACTTTCGGCTCAAGACTACGAAAATGTTTGCCGTATCGCCAACCAAATCTTATCGAAGACTTCTCAGGAAGATGTGGACAAGATCAAAATGAATTTACAGAACATGACTCCCGAGCAAAGACAATACCTTAATCGGAAGAATATGGATCCCATCACGTATTTCTTTCGCTCTCAAGCATTGACTCAACTCAGAAGACACAAACGAGCCCGACAGGAAGCGCAACAACGTGCGCAGAATGTAGGAATTGACCCTAATACTGCGATGATGGGGGATCCGATGATGAACGCCCAGAATCGACAAATGTTCCAAAATATGATGAATCTGCAGCGTAATTCATTCTCAATGGGCAGTCAACCGAATTTGGATCCATCCTCATTTATCGGCAACGTTGAAAATATACAGGGACAACAGGCGGATGGTTTACGCTCCCAAGAAGCAGGCCAACTTGTGGTGCCTGCTAGTTCTTCCCAGATGAACCAACAGCCGTTTACAACGCCTCAGAACATGTTTCAAGTCGGCCAGGGTAACCAGACCAATATGAACGGTGCCGGCATTAGTCCTCAGTTCTTCTCCCAACAGCAATTACAGACGTCCCAGAATCTCCCGCAAGATCGAACGCAACAGGCACCTCAATTCCAACCACAATCGCAGGCACAAACACAGGCCCAGCAACGCGTGCAGGCTGCTCAGGACGCGCAAATGGCTATATCCCAAGCCGGTCAAGCCAATTCGCAAATGCAACAGCAGATGACACAGCAAAGTCCCGCCATGCCGATGCTCAATCGTCCCATGGCTCCGGGTCAGATGTCACCGGCGCAAGTGGCAGCTCAAGTTCGGCCTCCGTCACGGGCTCCTGGGCAACAACCGGCCGGGGTCCAGTCTCTCGGAGGACAAACGGGCATGCAGGGTCGACCTCAGATTCCTCCTGGCCTTCCGCCAATGGTTCAAGAGCAACTAGCTCGGATGACCCAAGAGCAGCTAACCGCGTTCTTAATGAACCAGCAGCGCCGTCCACTAAATAATCAAGCTATGGCAAGAGCAAACGCTAACCAGCAGTCCATGCCTATGCAGACGAACCTGTCGCAACCTGGCCAGGGTCAACAGATGGTGAATGGTCAGGCGGGTAATAATCAAAATATGCGTGCCTCCCTGAATTTACAACAACAGCTCGCAAATATGAGTGGTGCACAAGCGCCCAATCGGATGCTCCCAGGGCAACAGCAAATGACAGCCCAGCAACGGCAGCAGCAACAACAGCAGCGTCAACACGATCTATATAAGATGCAGCTGCTTCGCCAGCAGAGTGGGGGCTTAGAAATGTCCCCCGACCAGATCAAAGACATGGATCGCTTGCCATTCCCCCCTTCAATACTTAGCAACAACCCCAACGTCCCTTCGCCCGTCCCGAAACATATAAAGACTTGGGGCCAACTGAAACAATGGGCAACTGCAAACCCTCAAGTTCTCGGAGGCATAGATCTGCAGAAGTTAGTGACATTCCAGAAGTTCCATTTGGCCCAGATATTGGCACAGAACAAAGAAAGTGGTCGGAATCCTGATAGTGGTGGCCAAAACCCTTGGATGCAAATGCCTTTCCAGGGGCAGCCACAGCAATTCATGAACCAACAACAGTTCCAAGGTGGCCAACAACAAGGGCCAATAAATATGCCTCCAATGCGCCCGATCACTGGGCAAGATATCCAAATAGCTCGTCAGCGACTAGGAGCTCAGGTGCAGAATTATACGGATGAGCAGCTTCGGGAGATGCTCTACAGGAACCGACAGAAACAGTTAATGCAGCTTGCCCAGAACCGAGCCGCTCAACTTGCAGCTCAACAAGGCCAACAGACCCAGTCGTCTCAGCAGCCTCCGGTCACTGCGGCTTCGGCTACGCCCCAAATCAAGTCAGAGGCCCAACACCAGCAACCAGCAACACAGTTGAATCAGCAGATGCAAGCGGCAAAGACCCAGAATGCAGCACCTGCAAAAGGTGTAAAAGGACCTGCTGCTAAGCAACCGCCGAAGAGAAAGATACCAAATGAAGAAAGCGCGGACGCTCAGAATACCCCTGCGCAAAAGCCGGCACAGCCTGTGGCTTCTCAAGGATTGTCGGGTTCCACGCCAGCACGACCTAATATGCCGTTCACTCGTGAGCAGTTGGTTAATATGACACCACAGCAACGTGCACAATTGGAGGCGCACATACGGAGGCAACAAGGCCAGAATCAAACGCGCGCTCCCATTTCGAGAACCGCTGCGGAAGAGCAATGGAACAACCTACCGGACAAGATCAAGCAAATGTATAACGAAATCCTGGTGCAACCCCTACCTGTTGAACCTGTATCTGTCACACCAGAGCAAAATGCTCAAATGTCCCAGCAACTACGGGACTTTACGGATATGCTGGGTAGGATGGATACACTGGTTCAATGGTTTTCCAAGATCCCTAACCAGGAAAAAAATGTGAAAAGCTTATTAGCTATGGTATGTCCACATTGCGTATTTTTCTATTATATTAACTAGTGTGCTGATTCTGTGCCATTTAGCGCATACAATTAATGAGGCAATTTAAACCTGGACCTGACTGGACGATCAATGACCATTTTACTGTCTCACCAGAGTACCTGACAATGAGCACTAACTATGTCAAAAAGCTTTTCCAAGCCATGATCACCCGCGTCAGCCAACATCAAAATCAGCCATCTGGACAACGGCCTAGTGTATCTCAAGGGTCAACTAATATCCAATCGTCCACACAGAATAACATGCCCGCCTTGAACGCAAGCAATCTTCAGCAACTTCAACAACAGGAGGAGGCTATTCAGCGGGCCCGAAGAGCCTCAAGCCAGACTGCTGTCTCGGCAACTTCCGCCGTACCACCGGCACCGTTTGGCGCGCCGTCTCCTCAGGGAGTACCACATGTTTATGGACCCGGTAGCATGCCCCCCCAGGAACTAAAACTCCCTCCGCCAAAGAAGAGGAAGCAGTCCCACGCTGGGCCTATTACCGGAACAGCTGGCACCAAATCACCGGCAGCCAAACAGACTGCAACAGATGCCAAAATGACCGCCACAGCTATGGTTGGTCCTTTCAAATGCAGTGTCCCACAGTGTCAGCATCATTACCAGGGCTTTGCAACCCAGAACGCGCTGGACAAGCATGTTGAAGAAACCCATAAGGTTGAAGAATCAATTGAAGATCCGCTTCAGTTTGCCCTTGACAGCTTCCGTAACTTGGTCAAAGAGGAGGATAAGGCTTCACCTGAATCGCAAGCTCTGAAGAAAAGTGCTGGTAGTGCAATGGACACCCCGCAGGTGCCTCCTAAAGTCGGCGTTCCCTCACCCCCCATGAAGCAGGAAGCGGGAACAACTCCGATCACCGCGGGCGCTACCCCGGTGGCGCGCGTGTTCAGTCAATTCGGAGCGAAGCCCACTTCTCCCGCATCCAACCAGACCCCTCGTGGGCCATCAGTCAAAGTACCTTTGTCGACAGCCAAGCCTTCCGGTAGTAAGGACGGGAAGAAGGAGGCCGGGAAAGCGACCGAGCAGATGCCATCCTTGGAGCCTACCACTGAAGACCCTTGGACTTCAAGTGCTGTTTCTCTTGAGGCGATCCAGGACACATTTATGGACTTTGGGGACGACAGTGGCTTTGGTTTCGGCCCCATGGACGAGTTCATTAATGCAGACATGTTCGCCAACACTCAGTCGAAAGATACACCGGATTCGGTTGAAACAGCCATTGTCACTCAGACACCTAAGGACAACGACTTACCGAAGGTCGGGGATTTGGCAAGTAAAGGTGCGGAAGGCCTTGAAGGCAACTGGATTCCAATGGACTGGATCAACCTTCCGGGTCGGTTCGACGATGGACCTCTTTTGAACGAGTCCTGGGAGGATATTGATTGGGACACCCTCGATCGGAGTAACATGAATGTTGACGATAGCGGAATCGCCATCTGTGCCATGTGAAACGGCGTTTTACGAAAAAAAGAAAAAAAAAACATGGAAAAAAAAACAACTAAAACTTAATGACCCTGAGCAGGTGAAAGGCGCTGCGGCTTATCTCTTTGGCATAAATATGGATGACTTATGTATATTAAGACTAGGCCAGTGTGGGAGGCCACTTGTTTTATGCTTGTGATTTTGTTTTCTTTTACGTCTGTCACTCTTGTCTCTGTTACACCCTCGGACCACTTCGATTTCCCTGTTCATCTATAGTTGGCTTAGCCGTGGCGTTTCAAGGAGCGAGCAAAAGGTCATCTGTGAATTGTTGAAAGAGCCATTGTTCTCTTTGCTATATTTGAAATCTTCTTCATTTCCCCCCCTTTGGTCTCTTTCCAGGCGACGGAGCTATCTATTGAAGGCAAATATAATAACCACATCTTCAAAGTTTGGAAAAACATGAACATCCCAGTGAAAATTCCGGAGTAGTAGAAGTTGACTTGTAGATTTGCGGCTGTTCCATGGAACACAGCGGTAAGGCTCGATACTGGATGCGTACGATACGGCGGATCCCTGGGTCCATGTGCCAAGGCTCGAGGGATGGTCAGCTGCTGATAAGGACGCCCCATCGCTCCATCTCCTCTCGGATTCCTCACTCTTTGTCCTTCTCCAACAACCTTATTGTCATTTCCGAGATGGGCTGTCAATAGAAGCCTTCCTACACTATATCCTTCATTCTGTGCTATAGCGCTGAGTTTTCTAGAGGAGCATCTGGTCTACTGCTTCCAAGACTCCCCCGGATAGACACGGGTCCTTATCTCTCAGCCCGCCAGCTTTCTGTCTCTCCACCACGACTGAGAGACCCTTTGGTTCGACATATTCTGTTTAGGGCATTGTAGTGCCCCTTCGGGAATCATGGCGACCAAAGCAATGATTCCGTTCCTGGTCACGATGATGCTCGTGACCGGTGTCTGCAATACTATTCTCAACAAGTATCAGGTTAGATCCCTTACCAGTGCCTGTTGTCTGCTTTCTGCTAAATTGCATGAACAGGATATGCAATGTGTGCGAAACTGTGATTCTCAGGATCCTAGCGATCGCCATCTCTTTGAGCAGCCTGTTATTCAAACGTAGGCGTTTTTATATCATCTTCTGACTCGTGCATCGGCTTATGGTTTGGTTCTACAATAGGATTCAGATGTTCATTGGAGAAATGGGTTGCTGGCTCGTGGTCCTACTCTCATATATTTACCAAACATTCATCTCACCGCGCTTTTCGACTCAATCATCCCCCCTTTTAGTCGGTGGCTATCACCCTGTCGCGGATAATGATGGCGTCGATGATGGCGTCGAGGATAATGCAGTTGAGGGGGATGGGTTCCCCAATGACCCTACAAAGCCTGCGCACGCGCATGACGAGCGTATACGGCTACATGGCTGGAAGATCTTTCTACTTGCTGCACCAGCATGCTGTGACATTGCAGGCACTACCCTTATGAACGTCGGTCTGCTCTTTGTCGCAGCAAGCATCTACCAAATGACACGTGGTGCGCTGGTACTCTTTGTTGGGCTCTTCAGTGTTCTGTTTCTCCACCGGAAACTTTATTTTTATCAATGGGTTGCACTTTTCGTGGTCGTCCTGGGAGTTGCACTGGTTGGCCTTGCAGGTGCCCTCTTTGGTGACAGCCAGAACCACGATATCACACGAGAGGATCCCATGGCAGCTGTAGCACACATCTCGATGCAAGCCCGCGCTCTTGCGAAGACCCCTGAAGCAGTTCAGGCCATTATCGGTGTTCTCCTTATCGCCGCAGCCCAGATCTTTACTGCCTCGCAATTCGTGCTGGAAGAATGGATCTTGGAACACTATGCTATGGATCCTATCCAAGTTGTTGGCTGGGAAGGCGTTTTCGGCTTCTCTGTAACTGTCATCGGATCGATCATCTTATATCTGTTCGTGGGCCGCACGGAAGCTGGCCGCTATGGATACTTTGATGTCAAGGAAGGATGGCATCAGGTATTGAGTAACAGAGCTATCGCTATCGCCAGTGTCCTGATTATGATCAGTATTGGGTATGGTCGTTCCCTTTGCCCTGCTAAGACCTGTCGATACAACATAAAAGCATTCACTAATTTTTGTCCTTGAACAGTGGCTTCAATTTCTTCGGCCTCTCCGTTACCCGGTCTGTCTCCGCTACATCTCGTAGCACGATTGACACTTGCCGAACACTCTTCATTTGGCTCGTCTCGTTGGCGCTCGGATGGGAATCCTTCAAATGGCTTCAGGTAGCCGGGTTCGCATTACTCGTGTATGGAACCTTCCTTTTTAACGACATTGTACGCCCACCGCTCAAGGCATGTCTTCCTCATGAAGTGAGGGAGAGGGAACTGCTGCTACCAGAGGAACCGATTGAGCATATCTAAATTTAGAGAACGGGACATGCTATTAGCATCTCAACATCCCCACACCCATCGTCTTAGGCTCACATTATTTTGCTTATCTTACTTTTGGATGCATGGTTGGTATAAACTATTGGCGTTGCAGGCTTTCGAGTCGTCTTTATTCTGTCTGGCTTTTGGTTTCTATGAATGGTCTCATCTTATATAGATGAACTTGGCTTGCTTTCTCGGACTTTGTATACATTTGTACTTGGATCTTATCTATGAACGCTGAAATATAAAGGGAGAAGAATGGAAAAAATGAGCCACAGCCCGGTCTAGCGTAAATAAACTACTATAACATCATAGGAATCTAAGTCTAATCACAGCGAAACATTGGCATGAAAGACAAATGACAAGTCAAAGACCACTATCCTAGCCATACAAAACGGACGGGCCCGCTCAATATACAATCCGAGGCCAGAGTTTATATATCTATCTATATCGCCAAGGTCCCGTATATAGTACAGATCAAGTACTCTTGTGGTCTGATATAGATGTATTTTTCTAAACGAGAACGTATAGTGCACACATCTATCAAGAGACACCTATTAGTTGAGTAATAGAGAAGTTGCGGATGGTGTACTCACACAAGCAAGACCAAAGATCATCGACAGCCAGAAGAAAATATTCTATTGCATAGGTTAGACGTGCCCATTTCTCTCTCTTATTTATTTCTTTGTTTTTCTGGTCCGGTAGGGAGTAGTTGGTGCTTACTCTAAGGGTCGTCTTGCCCCGGAAGTACTTGGATTGCTGGACGGCCACAAGAGGCAATTGGAGCATCATAGCGACGAATCCGTAGCCGCGGAGTTTCTTTGTAATGCAGCTCATCACTAACTCGTGGGCAACAGAGCTCACGAGGAAGGTGATGAACATGGCGACGGACTGAGAAAAGCGGGCCTTGGAGGGGAAATAGACATGCCGTCGGAGGAAGTGATGGACAGGGATATTCCACTCGCGCGAGAATTCAAGCCTGGGGGGAAATGTCAGTTGGTTAGATCCGGTAAGGAGTATGTATCAAATGTGTACACGTACCAATCGCATGAGTTCCACCAGTCTGAGTAGAAGTGACGATCGGCGAAACAGGTGATCTCCGCAAATGCACCCAGCACATATTCGAATATAACCAGGAAGACGAGTAAGAACGTGATCATGAAGGGGAACATAAGCATATTGATTGTTTCCGCGAGGATCAAGGCTTTGTCCGCTGCACTCTGTTTCAAATGCAACTGGGTATTGGCCTCGCTCAGGACTGGGAGAATGAACTCTTCACTTGTGAGGGTCAACAGGAATATACACCCAAAGACGGCACACGTTTTCAGGCCGATCTCTGCCCATGATCGCTCCTTGCTGCGAGGATATTCCAACTCGTAGCAGAGGGTAGGGCAGAAAGCGAAGTCGACGTAGTTAGGGAGTGTAAGGTTCTGCGGATATGTGACATGGCCTAGCGGCGAGGTCAATTCGGTCGCCAAATCCTCACGGAGTTCTTGGATTGATTCCGATCGTGAGTGGCTACTATGCCGCTGCGTAGGGGGCCGACGGGGTGCTGGGTCAGGATACCGATCCACAGCTGCATCTATTGATGCTGACCCAGGGTTATCAAGTGCGGACAAGCGGCGCTCGGTCTCGCTGAGATGCCCGTTGTAGAATGCATAAGAGTGTATCTTCATCAAAAAGGTTAAGGTATGCAGAGTGAAGAATACCTGCGCTGTCCAAGTCCAGCGTAACATAAATGGCCAACTGATTGTTTGATTAGTTCTTAAATTCAAGCGCAATTTAGAAATCGACTCACTTGATCCATAGGACTAGCCAAGCCGCTTCAAAAATGCTTTGTACTACCATGCCCCCTCTTCCCCATCGCAGCCATCCACTACTGTTCCTGTAAAGGTGATGGAGCGGCAAGACTGCTGCACTACTCACCACCATAGCGAGGTCGCTGAACCCCATTGCCCAGACATTTGCTGTCAGGAGACTCCATACTCTCACCCGTAGCGGGGAGCCGGTGTCCTTTACATTCCGAAGCGCGGTAGTGGCCACCATGATAAATAACCCGATCCAAAACAGTGTGAAGAAGCCGCGGAAGTTATGATAGTCGCTCTTCGGGTCGAAGTGAGATACGCGGGGGATATAATCAATGGTATAGAACAGTCGATTCCGGGCTCTAGCTTGCTTTCTGGCGTGCGATATTGACTGGATCGATGGAGGGGCATCTTCGGCGACGGGGGTTGAACGTCCACTACCATACAGCCGTTAGACTCGAGGGAGATGGCAGTGGGCTCAACGGTCTTACTTACCTCGAGTCAAGAGAACTTTTCTCCAAGGAGAAATTGGTAGAATCGTCAAGTTTCTTCAATAAGGCCCGTGGCCGTAACATCGGGGAGCCATTGCTCTGTGATACTGCAGAAGACATCCTCGCGGAGTCAGGAGTGCTAGATGTCATGTACACTTTGTTCACATTGGTTCCGTGGAACTAGTAGAAGAGCTTTAGCACGGAAGGGACAGTCTAACTAAATATAAAATCTCTCAAGGTTTCGGTGAACAGATGGAAAGGATTGTCTCGGAGGACACATCCAGGAAAAGGTGGATCCTTGATCAATAATAGTTGTCGAAAGGCAGACTGATTTGCGCAGGGACCAATTTTAAAAGGGAGAAGATGGTCGGTGTCGCGTATCAGCCGGGCATCGGACCGCGACGAGTGTTTCCTATACCATTGGCATCCAACATTTGCAACAAATTATGCGGAGAACAAGGCAAATTGAACGGAGATCATGGGGGGCCGTAGAGCCTCTGAGTAAGAAAAGTTATTTCTGTACGGAGTAACTGGGAAGCCCTCACGTCATGCCGTCCACCTGATCCCGGACCTCGGAACCGCGGTACCGCCGAAGTACGTACCTTATAAGGCGGTGCGGAAGGGGTAACGATACGAATACGATACAGGGTACGATTCAATGTTGATGGCCTGTAGTTTCAGGCTATCTAGATATCCATTCTTCGGATCACGTGGGAGCCCAACGAGGGGCCCTAGACTCAAAGGGGGGAAGCGCCAAGACGGACAAGTCGCAAAGGACGGGCGAGGCTCAACCTACCGACGCCGTTGCTGCTACTTTTATTGTTTAGACGCTTTTCATCTGGCCTTGGAGTTGCGTGGACTGGTTTCTTCGCATTGCTTTCTTCTTTCCCGTTCCTTCTTTTGTCCCCCTTTAATTCATATCCTTCTTGATACCCCGTTGGGGGTCCCTGTGGCCGCCATGACATCCCGTAAGTCGTGTCCATTGCTAATGGAAACCCCCCACAATGGCATCCCCTTACCTGGCAACTTAGTTGCTAACAATTCTTTCTCCGCCGCCCAAAATTATAGTCAAGCAATTCATTCGAAATGTACGTTCTGCTAAGACAATCGCCGATGAACGGGCGGTGATTCAAAAAGAGAGCGCGGCCATTCGTGCGTCATTCAGGGAAGAGAGCCATGATTCGGGCATACGGTCAGCCATCTGTGCATTCCTCACCTGAACCGACATCTCATACCCATTGACAGGAGAAATAATGTTGCCAAATTACTTTATCTTTTCACCCTCGGTGAGCGGACGCACTTCGGTCAGATTGAATGCCTGAAACTGCTGGCGTCCCACCGCTTCGCAGACAAGCGATTGGGATACCTGGGCACTATGCTGTTGCTAGATGAGAATCAAGAAGTATTGACGCTGGTGACAAACTCGCTAAAGAAGTAAGTTACAAATTGAATGGATAATGCGCTTTATGGATCTTTCCCGCTAATCTAACGCAGTGATCTTAACCATTCCAATCAATATATTGTCGGGCTTGCCCTTTGCGCCCTAGGAAATATCGCCTCCGTCGAGATGTCCAGAGATCTGTTCCCGGAAGTCGAGTCTCTTCTTTCTACCGCAAATCCATATATCAGGAGGAAGGCGGCGCTGTGTGCTATGCGGATATGTCGTAAGGTGCCAGACCTGCAGGAGCATTTCTTCGAGAAGGCCAAAACCCTCTTGTCGGACAGGAACCATGGTGTTTTGCTATGCGGTTTGACTTTGGTAATAGACATGTGTGAAGCGGAGGAGGCCGAGGAAGGACAGGAAGGCGTGATCGAGATGTTCCGACCTCTGGCTGGTAGCCTCGTTCGTGCTCTAAAGGGGTTGACAACCTCCGGATACGCCCCGGAACATGACGTTTCTGGAATCACAGATCCTTTCCTTCAGGTCAAGATCTTACGTCTCCTTCGAGTACTAGGAAGAGGAGACGCGGCAACAAGCGAACTGATTAACGACATTCTAGCCCAGGTGGCTACCAATACTGATTCAACAAAGAACGTCGGCAACGCTATCCTCTACGAGGCGGTCCTCACCATCCTTGACATTGAGGCTGACTCGGGCCTAAGAGTTCTAGGCGTCAACATCCTCGGAAAATTCCTCACCAATAAGGACAACAACATTCGTTACGTTGCTCTTAACACGCTGAACAAGGTTGTCGCTATCGAGCCCAACGCTGTGCAGAGACATCGCAACACCATCTTAGAGTGTCTCCGCGATCCCGATATCAGTATCAGAAGACGAGCCCTTGACCTTAGCTTTATGTTAATCAATGAGAGCAACGTCCGTGTCATCATCAGGGAGCTTCTTGCTTTCTTAGAAGTCGCGGATAACGAGTTCAAGCCTGCGATGACTAGTCAGATCGGCATTGCTGCCGATCGCTTTGCGCCGAACAAACGTTGGCATGTCGACACGATCCTCCGAGTCCTGAAATTGGCTGGTGCCTATGTCAAAGAGCAGATTTTATCTTCCTTTGTGCGTCTCATTGCTACTACACCAGAATTGCAAACCTACTCCGTGCAAAAGCTCTACATGTCGTTGAAGGAAGATATCTCGCAGGAGGGTCTTACTCTTGCTGCCACTTGGGTCATTGGAGAGTACGGCGATAACCTTCTTGAAGGCGGTCAGTACGAAGAAGAGGAGCTGGTCAAGGAGGTCAAGGAAAGTGACCTCGTTGATCTATTCAACAATATTCTCAACAGTACATATGCAACACAAACGGTGGTCGAATACATTACCACTGCTTCGATGAAGCTTACCGTGCGCATGTCGGACCCAGCTCAGATCGAGCGCCTCCGCCGCTTCCTGAATAGCCGGACCGCCGACTTGAGCGTGGAAATTCAACAACGAGCTGTCGAGTACACCAATCTTTTCGGCTACGACCAGATTCGCCGGGGTGTTCTTGAACGTATGCCACCTCCCGAGATTCGTGAAGAACAGAGGGTCCTGGGTGCTCCAGCAAAGAAACGCCAGAGCAAAATCCTCAAGGACAAGACTAAGAAGGCCGTCAAACCGGCCGAGCAGGATATGCTTCTCGACCTCATGGGTGGTGATGCTCCGGCGACCAGCCCAATTGGCAACGGGTCCCAGAATACAGCCGACCTGCTGGCAGATATTCTCGGCGGGGGCTCCGGGCTCTCGTCCCCTGCTCCCCAGCCGATGCAGAAGCCAGCACAGTCCAACACAGCTGCCATCATGGATCTGTTTGGCTCCAATAAAAACACCCCGTCGGCCGGTCCAGCTGAGCCGGCATCTTCGTCTATGGACCTCCTTGGAGGCCTTGGATCCGCCGCGCCTACGGCATCCACCCCTCCCCCCTCGGCACCCGCAGCCCCTGTCCATGCAGCATTCAATAAGAACGACCTTTCTCTGACCTTGCAGGTCCAGCGGGGCAGCGGCGGCAATGCACAGATCCAGGCTCGTTTCCGAAACTCCTCGAACTTCACTAGTTTCTCCGGTGTTGGATTACAAGCTGCGGTACCCAAGAGCCAACGGCTTCAACTCAGCGCAATCAACAAGCCCGATCTCGAGGCCGGGGATGAAGGTATTCAACTACTGAAGGTCGCCTCTCTAAACGGAGTAAGTTCTCAATTCTCTCCCGCCTCTCGATATACTAACAGTACCCAAGGCTCTCCCACCCAAACTCCGCCTCCGTCTGCGTATCACATACTCCAAGGACGGATCAGATCCCGTGACAGACCAGGTCGACTGGACCGAGCCGTAAGCCGATCGATCTTCATAGAAAGGATGGCTCCCCCACACCTTACCCCGTCAAAGACATCAATTGACAAACCAACGCCCTACCTTAATTATATCACATCCCATTTTCCATTTCACCCCGTTACCTAGATGGTTATTTACCTTTTTGAATGAAAGTGCTCTCCAATCGCATGGAGAAAAACGAAACTTCTTTAGAGAATAAGCTAAGGGGGCCCCTATACGTATGTGCTCAATTGAGCGAGAATGATGGAAAACTGTCATGCATTCATACCCCGTTGATTTCCCGTCATCTTTATCACCAACTTTTTCTCCGTTGCCCGTTCTATTTTCGTGTAAATGCTTGTTTATGGGTGAAAATCAGGTGAAGAATTTGATAGTTGTATGTATTTACATTCGGTTATAATGAGGATAGATTCAATTGATTCTTAACCAACAATATACAGGCAGTTATTGGATTTGTTGGGTACATACTCATAGATTCAACATATTCTACGTGTTATATATAAATGCGGGGTATAAGATATGGTAGTACTAGTGCTTATGCTTACCCCAAAGTGTTCAGTCTGGATTAAACCTACAAATCTAACATATACGATAATAAGAAAATCAAAACAAATACAGTCTATGAATAGCCAAGTTGAGAACAAGCGTCCATGCGAATGAAACAATTGATATGCTATGTGCCAATTCCCAAGCGTTCAAAATCCCCCCAACCTGATTCATCAGTCATGATCGTCAATCATCATTTACTCCGACATTTCCCTGGATAAATAAAATGGATGATTGATACTCATCACAGTGTCCCATCCGTACGCCGATATGATTTAATAAGAAAAAAAATGATTGTAGTAATAGCAAAACAAGAAATGTGGATCGTGGTCATAAACGAACAGATATATGCCTGCGGTTCAGTGGATCAGAGCCTAGCCCGTTTCTGGGTGTGAAGGCATGATGATATCTTATAATGTGCGAAGAATAGAAATATGTCGGCAGTCATTGAGTGCTGACAGACTCCCTATAGGTTATTCTGGTACATGGTTGGATATCATTGGGCATTTCTGATATCAACTGCGATTGAGCCGCCTAAATGCTAGTAAAAGGCTCTGGGCCACTGAAAGAGAGACGAAGAATTGAGAATGAATGTACCAAGTGTTGTGCTCCAATAAATATCTGAGATTGAGTTACTGTCGTTATTATGGGTTCGTTAGGTGTACTAGTAGGTGGACTGGCGTCTTCCGACAGGTGGTGGGTGGTAGCTGTCGTAGTGATGGCGAGAATATTTGTCCGGCCCAATTTCGCGGGCATATTTGAACTCCTTCTCCTTGTTACGACTGTATTCGACTTCTCCAAACAATTGTCTGCTGGACGATTGCCTAGAGGTCTCTGGTCGGGCTTGTTCGTAACGCTTGGACGGCTCTGCGGTGTAAGCGTAAGTACTACTTCGAACCGGTTTCGGTGGGGCGCGCGGCAGACGGTCTTGAGGCGGCAAGTAAGTTCTGGAGTGTCTTGGAGACGGGTGTGGTGGTTCTACCAAAATGGTCTCGGGCTCGTTGACAAGCTTGTCGTTAAAAACCTTATAACGAGTCGACATCTTGGGGGGGCTCTCCCCGGCCGCCATTTCCGGAGTACCCGGACTTGAGTACCCTGAATCCGTCTTATCCACGCCTCTCACCTTCGCAGTGCGCGATGGTGGGTCAGAATACACCATGCCTAAGAGTACCGGATCCGAGCGACTACTAGCTTCCCGTTTAGGTCGGGAATAAGAAGCTGTCGCGGATCGTGAGGGCTGGAGGGAAGGCCGAACAGACGAAGA